CGGATGCCCCACTGGAGGCATTCATTTGGCTATGCCAAGAGATTTGGGAAACAGCTACCTGACCAACTGACTGGAAGAGATCCATATTTGTACCTATTCCGAAGAAAGGTGATCCCACAGAATGTGGTAATTATCAAACAATATCATTGATATCATACACAAGTAAAATCTTACTGAAGAAAATTCAAAAACAGTTGTAGCAATATATTGACAGAGAACTTCCAAAAATACAAGCTGGATTCAGAAAATGCAAGCTGAATTTCAGAAGAGGATATGAAACGAGGGACATCATTGCTGATGTCAGTTGGATATTGGCTGAAAGCAGAGAATACCAGAAAGATGTTTACTTGTGTTTTACTGACTATGCAAAAGCATTTGATCATGTGGATTATAACAAATTATGGGTAACACTGAGAAGAATGGGAATTCCAAAACACTTAATTGTACTCATGAGGAACCTGTACCTTGACCAGGAGGCTGTTGTTCAAACAGAAAAAGGGAACATTGCATGGTTCAAAATCAAGAAGGGAGTGCATCAGGGTTGTAGCCTTTCCATACTTATTCAATCTGTATGCTGAGCAAATAATCCAAGAATCTGGACTATATGAAGAAAAACGTGGCATCAGGATTGGAGGAAGAATCATTAACAACCTCCGATACACTGACGACACAACTTTCCTTGCTGAAAGTGAGGATGACTTGAAGTACTTACTGATGAAGACTGAAGAATACAGTCTGCAGTATGGATTATAGCTCAATATAAAGAAAACAAAAATCCTCACAACTGGACCTATAAGCAGCATCACAATAAATGGAGAAAAGATTGAGGTTGTCAAAGACTTCACATTGCTTGGTTCTTCACTCAACACCAATGGAAGCAGCAGTCAGGACATCAGACAATGTATAGAACTGGGCAAATTGGCTGTAAAGGACCTCTTTGAAGTGCTGAAGAGCAAAGATGTCTCCTTGAGGACTAAGGTGCGCCTGACATAAGCCATGGTATTTTCAATCACCTTATATGCATGTGAGAACTGGACAATGAACAAGGAAGACCGAAGAAGAGTTGATGCTTTGAGCTGTGGCGTGGGTGAAGAATGCTGAAAGTACCGTGGACTGCTAAAAGAACTAACAGGTCTGTCTGGAGGAAGTGCAGCCAGAATGCTCCTTGGAGGCGAGAACGGCCAGACTTTGTCTCACCTACTTTGGTCATGTTGTCAGAAGGGACCATTCCCTGGAGAAGGATGTCATGCTTGGTAAGGTGGAGGGTCAAGGAAAGTTGGGAAGGCCCCCAATGAGATGGATTGACACAGTTGCTGTGGTGATGGGCTCAAGTATAGCAAGGCTCGTGGCACTGGTATGGGACTGAGCAGTGTTTCATTCTGCTGTGCACAGGGTCAGTAGGAGTTGGAGGTGACTCAACGGCACCTAACAACAACAATACAACAGAACACTATTGTGGTCACACAAATGATGGTGCAAAGATGTGCTTAATGGCACAGAAAGATGTTTGTATAATTATTACATGAAATGGAGAAAGGTGGAAAATCCTTTTTTTTTTTGGTAAACCGACAGAAAAATACATATCAGAAAGTTATCAATGATTATTTCTGGTTGCTCTTTTGCTTTTAGTTTGTTTTTTGACAGTGAACATAAACTACTGGTATAAAATAAATAAATGAAAGGGTTTTCTATTGACAAAAAATATAGCACATGGTAAGTGCTCAATAGTTATTAGCTACTATGATGATGCTACTTTCTAGGCGCTGGGAGAAGATAGGCAGGAGCTTCTTGCCCTGAGAAGACTGAGGCTGTTGAGGCTGGCTGTCCACACCGGAGGGGCAGGCCGACGGCTTAGATGTGAAGGGCGCACGCTCTGCCTGCACTGTCTGCTCTAGGGTCATTCTAGCTCAAGCACAGGAGTCCTGCATTCCATCTGGCTTTGGTCAACAGGAACCTGCATTCGAACTGGGGAGTCCAAGCTGCTGAGTCACAATGCTAGCATTTGTACAAGCCTGTCTTCTGAGCAGTACCTTTTCTTGAGGATCTCAGCAGAAACGGAGGTGTCAGGACAGGATCAGGTGTTCAGAATCCTGTCTGTCTTCTCTCTCTTCCATCCCCACCCACCCCGACGTATCCTTCGACAGGCTTGCAAACAGAAGGCTCCAAAAGTGTTATACCAGGACTATAAACCTGGTGTCACAATGAGAAATAGGCTTTAGGACCAGAAGTGGAAGAGACAGTGAACAGTAAAACTCCCTTCTGCAATGGGTTGATCTTAAGGTGTTGGCATCATAGTTGAGTGAGTATGTGGAACTGGAACTTGGGAAAGGTTATCTTACGACATTTACTGACTTAAATAGAATCAAACTCTCACAGGAGGAGGGACAGACATATGAACACAGAGGAAAAAAGGTTAAGGAAAGAAAGAGAGGCCGAGCTGGACAGCGTGGAGAGCTGCAGTATGAACGCCAGCCTGTGAGTCAGTTCACGGAAGTCCTGCAGGCTTTGCTTTTTGGGGGGTGAACTGCAGGGCAGAGGAACCAAGTAGGGGTGGAAAATGTCAAGGTAGCAGGTGTTGCTGTGCTAGCAAGGCAGTCACCTTGCCATTTAGCTGCCACAGCTCAAATTCAAGACAAACAGGTTTTACATTTCACTGACTGGTGAAAAATAAGTGGACCCTAGTAAACGAATGGAAATATGTACATCAACCTAGGACCTCTGAGATAGTAATATACATCTAAGCGCTGAGCTCAATGCTTAGAGAAGAGTAGGCATTTGCCATTGACTATTAACTTCAAATGAAGCTCTCAGGGTATAGTGGTTAACGCATTTGGCCGCTAACCAAAAGGTCAGTGGTTCGAACCCAACAGATGCTCTATGGAAGAAAGATGAGGCAGTCTGCTGCTATGAAGTTTACAGCCTTAGAAACTCAATGTGGGTCGCTATGGGTCAGAAGTGAGTTTGGTTTGGGTTTTTGGTATTAACCTCAAGGTTGGCAGTTCAAACCTACCCAGTGGTGCCACCAAAGAAAGGCCTGGTGATCTGCTTCCATAAAGATTACAGCCAAGAAAACCCTCCAGAACATACAGGGTCGCCATGAGTCAGAATCGACTCAACAACATCTGGGTGTTTTTGTTTGTTTGGCTGGTTGGTTTTTTTTTTAACGATGGTAATAACAGGGGAAGACATGCATGAGTCAACTACATACACACACAGACAAATTTCCAAATGTGAACTAGGTGGCGAAGGGACAAGGAAGTAATATAAAAATCTGCTTAAATGGCCATAGAGGAAAGTTACTGCATAAATAATAGCATAAATAATTAGGCAGAAGACTGAAAGAGAAAGCCACATGTATTCAAATGAACGTGGGAATATCTTCTAGAATACAACAAAGGGGAGGGGAAAGTTAGAAATCAGTATCCCAGTGAAATGTGAATTATGTACATTTTAACTGTGTGTGTGTGGTACAAATGCAAAGGAAAAGGAATAGAAGGACACTCTGAATTTTAGCAACTGTTGCTTTTGATAAGAACAGTCTAAATGAGAAGGATTAAAGAAAACTCATGGTTTTTTATTCCATATTTGTTCTGTTATTATTTCTTTCATTTTTTTAGAATGACGTACTTCTATTACTTGTATAGTTTTTTAAATATAAAACTTCCTTCTGATAAAGGACAAAGAAAATTTAGATGGATTTCATTCTCTGCTTTTCTTCCCCAAAGGATTTAAACAGATACAGAATATACTAAACTTTCAGAATGTAGAATTTTTTTCTGCAGTGAAAGCAAAAAGGCACAGTAAAAGAAAAACGATGTTCATCAGGGTTCTCTTTACACCATCCACAAAGCTCCCTCACCTATTAAAACTTTTAGAAATATCTGTTAATCCTTCTGTATTATATAATGTGTGTGTGTGTGTATGTGTGTAGGGGGGTGGTAAACAAGAAATAGAAGGGTTTCCTGGCTAAAATTCCTTGTTCAAAAACACAAAGTAATAATGTGAATTTTCTCCCTAATAATGTAGATATCTCACAATAGATCAAATGGTCTCAACTGAGTGGGATTTTTGTCCTTCAAGGAAGATTTGCCAATGTCTGAAGATATTGGTTGTCATAACTAAGGGAGGGGATGCCACTGGGTTCTAGGAGTAGAGCCAGGGATATCACTAAAGGTCCTTCAACAAACCAGCCCCCAACAGAAAGAAGTATTTGCTCCCAAGTATCGACAAGGCCGAGGTTGCAAAACCCTGTTCTAGATCTAAAATCTCAGCACTGTTTCAAATACTCAAAAATTACTTTCAAAAGCAAAATACAATGATGTGTTACAATAAAATGATTCTTTTGTAAGTAGAATTATATAAAGAAGATTGGTTTAAAAATACAGGTTTTATAGTCCTACAAATTAAAGTTAGAATCCTGATTAGCTACTTTGCAACAGGAGCAAGTTAACTTAAACTTTCTGCTTCAGTTTCCTTCTTCCTGTGAAAATTAACCAATTAAATCCCAGCACCCTGCCCGCTACCTGCCCGACACACAGGTAGAAAAGGCAATAAACATTAACACCACCTTTCTCCTATTCTTTCTCCTCATACCACCAACTCCACTTAGATAAAATTATCATCATGGTCTCATCACAAAGTTTTAGATTGATATGATGATTCATAAATTTCAAGAGTAATATGACATGTGACATATTAAATAGCATCGTGATACAAAATAAGTGGAAGTATAGGGATTAAATGTTTAATTTGAAAGATTTTAGTTGTATCGCCCTTGTTTTAAGATAAGTGACTATAATAATTCAGTAATCTAAATAATTATAGTAATTTAAACACATCCATTAGATCAAAAACCCATATCCACCATCAGCACTCACCTTAAAAATCAAAATAAAGGCTAACAGCACTGTAAAAGGGGAGGGACAGAGTAAAGGCAGGAATGATGGACTCTAATTCTCCACGACCACTCATCATGGGCAGAGGATAACGAAGGGACCTACTTTGGTGGTGATCCTATACGTGATGTAGGTCTCCATCGTACACACATGCTTCTTCGGATCATCAACTGTGACAAAGAGATCTCTGGTCTCACCATCAATGTCATCATCAAGTTGAAGCCTGTTGAGAAGGGAAGATGAAGAAGCTGGGCTTGAAGTGTCTGCTGGAGTACCACCATTGGGCAAAATGAGATCCTGAAAGAAGAAAAAAGTTATCTTAAAAAAAATTAAATGAAGACACACACCTAGAGAATATGAGCAAACATAGCTAGTTGAGCCAAACCAAGCAGCATTCTTGATACACAAAGGAACCAAGCAACAATCTGAAATATGCTACGTGACTTTTTTAAATTCTGAGCCTCTCCTCACTCTACAATTCTTGAGTGAATGAACATGTCTGTTATGATCACTAGAAACTATCACACTGCTCTATACCAAGTTCATGCCAATTCATCTTCCAGCAAGCAGTGGAACCACCAACACATGCTAACAGCTCACGGGTAGACAGAAAGGGTAGTATCTTTCAAAAAGAACTCGGTGAACACCACACACTATTTTCCAGACCACTACCCAGGCTCAAGTGAATACGAAGTCGGAAAAAGAAAACAAGTCAATCGTCACAAAGACATTAAACATTAAGTGCCTCCTGACAGAATCTGTAAGAATCCCCTGGGGATCTTGTGAAAATGTAGACTCTGATTCAGTGTGTCTGGGGTGGGAAGCAAATTTTCAGGAGCTGGTCAAACCAGAATGAACCAGTTTGAAGTCCTGGTTCATACCACCACCTACTAAGTATGCTGGAAATAAGTGAGTCTGATTACTGCAAAGATCTAGACACATCACCAACTTATAGGAAGTGACAGAGCGAAACTAGACAACAAGGATGCCATCAGTAAAATACACACTACGTGAAGCTAAAGAGAATCAAAGATCCTGTTTCTTCAGTAAACAAACTGCAAGACAAAGAGACAGAGGAAAAGAAATTTTAGAGACGTTAACCAACTGCAGTGAAGCAATCTTGTTTAAATCCTGATTAAAAAATGTAAAATATAAAAAATTGGTGATTTCAGGGTAATTTGAATATTCTGTTATTTGATGATATGAACATCTTAGGTGTGATAATGGAAACATTATGATTTTACAAACATCTTCATCATTTAGAAATATGTAAGAAAATATTTATGGATGAAGTGATATGTTTGGGATTTACTACAAAATAATTCAGGATGGATAGTGGTGGATGGATAGTGGTAAGTAGGCATGTAAGTGATACAAGATGCACATGAGTGAGAACTATTGAAGCTAGTACTTACAAATAAACTCTTTTGTGTTTTAAATTTTCTATAATAAAGAGGGTTTTATTTTTTAATTTTATTGTGGTTTGGGTGAAAGTTTACAGAGCAAATTCATCTATACAGCAGTTCACATACACTTTGTCTCATGACATTGACTGTGATCTCCCATGATGCAACAGCTCTCCTCCCACTTCCTCCCCATAGCCACCGCTTCCCTGTGTCCTTCCCTCCCATGCACTCCTGGTTCCCAAGCTGTCTCCTTGTGCATACACAACCCTTCTATTCCTACTTAATGTAAATGTTTAGCTCATATGACTGCCTTTTGTTTGGCTGGAAGCCACAGGTGGTTGTTGTTGTTATGTGCCATCAAGTTGGCCCTGACTCATAGTGACCCCTCCTTGGGTTTCCAAGGCAGTATCACTACGGAAGTAGATTGCCCCATCTTCCTTCCAAGGAGTGGTTGGTGGGTTTGAACCGCCAGCCTTCGGGTTAGCAGTCAAGTGCCTTAGGCACTATGCTACCAGAGCTCCTAGAAGCCACAGGAGTGAGTTTAATTCTAGAACTGAAGGGCAGCTAGGACCTATAGACTAGGAACCAGGAGTTCCACCAGGCTCTATCAGACCAGCAAACCTGGTCCCTGTTTTTTTTTTTTTAATTTTTTTTTATAATTTTAAGTTTTGTTCCACATTGTTCTCCCACTCTATCCAGGATCTCCTAAAGAGATCCCCTTCTGAGTGGTTGACAGTGGTAGCCGGCACCATGTAGTTCTTCTGGTCTCACAGTTGTATAGGCTGAGGATCACATGGTATACCAGTCCCCTGGACTGTTTCCATGAATCTTTAGTTTTCTTCATTCCTTTTGCTTTGGATGAGGAGAGATCTATTGTTGCATCTAGATGGCTGCTTGTAAGCTTTTAAGATCCCAGTCGCTACTTGCCAGAGCAGGAGGTGGAACAATGATTTTGTGTAGTATATTACACCAATCGAGCTAGATGTCCCAAGACCATGGTCCTGAGCTCAAAGGTCCAACCACTTGCTCCCTCTGGGTAGCTGGCTGTGACCAAGAAGTGACTACAACTTTGTCCCTTGTCAGCTCTACTATATACCTGGAACTTCTTCCAGAACATACAAATACACTTGTAGAAACACTGTCTGCCAACCCTATACATGGTCGTGGGCACACTGGCCCCTGCACAGATATACCTAATAGTTCAGCCTGTCTACCCATCTATCCACCCATAGATCAATGTTTGCCATCACTGACAATACACAGGACTCTATGTGCAAAAGGGTTCATCTTTGTTGTCTGTACCTCCCATGCACCTCTTTATATCTTCCTCTTCCTCAATGCCACTGTGTTGATCACTCACATTTGGCACAGTGCCCTTCCCTTCACCCAAATTAACACTTGTCTCTACCTACCTAGCAGTGTTGCCTCCCCTCTCCTCCCACCCCTGGTAACTAACAAAGAAAATTTCCTTCCATATATAAACCTTTCCTTGATTTTTTACAGTAATAACCCAAACAAATGCAAGGCACTGGCATCAAGTCGGATCCGACTCACAGGGACCCCTCCTTGGGTTTCTGAGGTGGTGTCACTACAGAAGTAGACTGCCCAACCTTCCTTCCGAGGAGTGACTGGTAGGTTTGAACCACCAGCCTTCTGGTTAGCAGTCAAATGCCACAAGCACTACACCAAATATTTGTTCTTCTATGACTGACTTATTTCACTCAGCATAATGTCCTCCAACTTCATCCATGTTATGTGGTGTTTTGCAAATTCTACATTATTCTTTAGGGTTGCACAGGATTCCATTGTGCGTATGTATCATAGTTTGGTTATCTGTTCTTTTGATGGGCACCTAGGCTGTTTCCATCTATTTACTCTTGTAAATAGTGCTGCAATGAACAGGGGTGTGCATATATCTGTCCTTGTCCTGGCTCTCACTTCTTTAGGATATGTACCTAGTAATGGAATGGCTGGGTCAAATGGTACTTCTAACTTTTTAAGGAATCGCCATACTGCTTTCCCCAGTGGTTGTATCATTTTACTGTGCCACCAGCAGTGTATGACAGTCCCAATCTCTCCACATCCTTGTCAGTATTTGTTATTTTCTGTCTTGTTGAACTTTGCTACTAGTGCTGGGACAAGATGGTATCTCATTGTTGTTTTGATTTGCATCTCTCTAATGGTTAATGAGCTCTGGTAGCATAGTGGCTAAGTCACTTGCCTGCTAACCAGAAGGCTGATGGTTCAAACCCACCAGCCACTCCTCGGAAGGAAGGTTGGGCAATCCTACTTCCATAGTGATACTGCCTCGGAAACCCAAGGAGGGGTCGCTATGAGTCGGGGCTGACTTGACGGCACATAAGAACAACAAACAACAAAATGGTTAATGATTGTGAACATTTCTTCATGTGTTTGTTGGCCACTTGAGTATCCTCTTTGGTGAAGTATCTATTCATGTCTTCTGCCCATTTTTTTAACTGGATTATTTTGTCTTTTTGTTGTTGAGGTGTTGGAGTTTTCTATAAATTTTAGAGATAAATCCCCTTGTCAGATACGTTGCTGCCAAATATTTTTTCCCCAATCTGTAGGTTCTCTTTTGACTCTTTTGGAGAATTCTTTAGAAGCACACAAAAATTTAACTTTTAGAAGGTCTCATTCATCGAGTTTCTCTTCCGCTGTCTGTGCATTTTGGGCTATGCTTGATAGTCTATTTATGCTATTTATTAGGGCCCCTAAATTTGCCCATATTTTTTCCTCAAGGAACTTTATAGTTTAAGGTTTCACATTTAAGTCTTTAATCCATTTGGAGTTCATTTTTGTGTATGGTGTGAGGTACAGATCTTGTTTCATTTTCCTGCACATAGATATCCAGTTTTGCCAACACCACTTGTTAAACAGAAACCTCTTCCCCATTTAATGGATTTCACCCCTTTGTCAAAGATCAGCTGACCATAGGTCTATTTTTGTGTTCTCAATTCTATACCATTGGTCTGTGTGTCTGCGGTTGTACCAAATACCAGGCAGTTTTGACTACTGTGGCTGTATATACTGCATATACTGTGGTTTTGAGATCTGGGAGTGTGAAACCTCCTCCTTTGTTCTTCTTCAATAGTGCTCCATAAGAAAAAGGGTTTTCAAAAAGAAGAAAGTGGAGGGAAATGCGAAGAAAGAAAGGAAAGGGAAGACGATAAATCACAGACCTTCACCTTCAGGTGTTAGGAGGAAGACGCCTAAATTAATTATGTCTGTGTGAAAGCCCAAAAGGACTGCAAAATTTAAAAGACCCCATCTTTAGTTACCTTTTTTGGTTTTCAGGTTTGCTAAAGAGCAAGGATGTCTCTTTGAAGACTAAGGTGTGCCTAACCCAAGTCATGGTATTTTCAATTGCTTCACATACATGTGAAGCTGGGCAATGAATAAGGAAGACTGAAGAAGAACTGATGCTTCTGAGTTGCGGTGTTGGTGAAGAAAACTGAAAGTACCATGAACCGCCATAACTAACAAATCTGACCTGAAAGAAGTGCAGTCGGAATGCTCCTTGAAGCCAGAATGGCCAGACTTCATCTCACCTACTACGGTCATGCTGACAGAAGGAACCATTCCCTGGAGAAGGGATATCGCGCTTGGTGAAGTGGAGGGTCAAGAGAAAAGGGGAAGGCCCTCAACGAGATGGACTGACGCTGTGGCCACAACGATGAGCTCAGCTCTAGCAAGGATTGTGAGGCTGGCACAGGACTGGGCAGTGTTTTGTTCTGTTGTGCATAGAGTCACTGTGAGTTAGAGCCAACCCAACGGCACCTAACAACAACAACAGAATAAAGCTCTGCCTAGTTGTTACAAGTCTCCAAATGTCATCTTGGTATCATAAGGACACAAAGACTGAGAGATATG